ACACAGCTTGTGTGATTTCCACTTTAGTTTGAAAGAATAATAATAGGAAAGCTTACTATTGAAATCTCTGCTTATCCCTAAGTCAAAAATGTAAAGAAAAGAAAGAGATCCTTTCTCTTTTGTAGGTTTATAGAAGTGTTTGGAATACTGATTTCTATATGGCAACAGCTATGGTTGCCCTATTAATTTAGCTTATTGTGCTGAAAAGGTGTTGCTAAGCACCGGTATCACTCCTGACAGGGGAGACTGGTTGTAGAATTGTAACACTAGGGACTCATAGCTATCAGCTTTAAAAAAAAATTTCCGTTAGATTCATTATAGAATATCACACATCTTTTCAGTGGGGGTTAAAGATTTTTGTCTATATTTTCTAGCAGCCGAGTGAAGTATGGTGTGTACAGTGTACCCTAGCAATTAGAACATTTTCATTTTTTTTCTTCAGTGTGAAGGTTTGGTATTTATCACCAGTTCTGCATGGGGGATTGAAATACATTCATTCCCAGAATGACTTGATATGATACAATTCCCATTTAAAACCAGGGAACTAAAGTAAACATATCAATAAAACCGGTCTCTGATGTCTTTGAAGCCTTTAGAAATGTGCATATATGATGAGTACACTATAGCTCAACTCCACACAGGCCTCTTACAAACTTATTATCTGGCTGCTCCTCCCCACAAAAAATGAAACCAGCATGTTTTATACTTAGACTACTAAAAATGTGAAAATTAGTAGTTAAAGCATGAACTTTTTGCAGGCACCTACATTGAAGTTTCTTTATTACAGTATGTCCGTTTGATGGGTTTTCTGATGACGTCATCAACACACAGCTTTTATATTACAGTGATAATCGTAGCCGCCAGGAAATTTTGTGGCTGCTGGCAATGGTCCTACCGTACTGAAGCAAGCCTGCGGCAAGAATGTCCTCATAACGTTTTAATTGCTTCCCCCTCGAAAGCCCAGGTCACCTTGTGTTAAATCAGTCTGTAAATGCTTGACTAAATTAGAGCTTTCTGACAGGTACCAGAGGGTGGCCTTGCAGCAGCCACAACTCTGCGAGCATAGCTAGAGGCAGGGAGGGGGGGGAGGGAAGTGTTTAGCTCTGGAGCACATTCAGAGGTAGTAGGTCGCTTCTCAAAGCTGGCCTAGCTGGCCTTGAGCGTAACCATAGAGAAAAACAGAAACATAACATGATTTATTTATTGCCACCCTGTACACTCCCGACAGTGTAAGAAAACAAATCTGATTTATAGGTCCTTCTGGGAAGAATTTCAGTGTACTGAGATTCAGCTTATTAAATTTTGATTGTCAAAAACATTTTTTCTTAGAATTTGCCAATAAAATCTCTTTATGGTATGAATTATGCTTGTACTTCCAGTTTTGAGGGACAACAACCCTGACCATATTTATTTGAAGCACACTTCAATAAATGATGCTCACGACGTCCGACACTGTCCTTGCTCTATCACACTATATACTGTACAAAGGTCTCTGATGAAGGAGACTTCAGCCCTGCTACTGGATGTGCCTTATCCAACAGGTTCCGTTTTTCACCAATAACTCATCATTTTCTAGAGACCTGACACAATGTCACTATGATCAGTTAAACAGGTGAATTTTAAAATGAAGTAATTCAGAAATCATTTGGAACAAAAATGAATAAGTCCTTCAGTCTTTGAGAACTAGTCTTTTCTTAATCGAACCAATGGATTGGCAGCTTATACAAGTGATTCTGGGTGGCACTGACGGGATTGGGGCTCTCCAGAACCAGAACTGGAGGCTTCTCCATCATGCAGCGGGGGAGTCCAGTAGCAAAAGATTGGAAGATTTTTATTTGTGAAGGTATTATTACAGTACCTCTTCAAGGTCAATGATGGCCCTGGTCCAACCATTTACCCAAGTAAGGATAAATAAATCAGGGATAAAGCACCACTCTAATAATTAAAATATACTCTTTAATGATCCAAAAGGTAAAAATTTTATACATTTTTGTACTATAAAAATTAGGGGAAAAAACTGTGCATTATGCACTCATCTCATACTGCAGTAATGCGGGATTAAATGAAACACTTGAGGAGAGAGCAATTATCTCTGCATAACAATTCAATGACCTAGATTTGCTGTATTCTCTGACAGATTTCAGTGTTCTTTGGTAATACAGGGAAAAGAACCTCGTCTATTAGAAGCTTAAATATTCTCAGAAGAGATATAATTTTGTGGTAAAATGACTCAAGGAAGCATATAACGTGATTCCACTTAGCTATACCTAATTGATTTACAATTTATCCAGAGGAAAAAATAGCTCTAGTGTGAACTTAATTATGGCTCGAGTGTTTTTAAAAGCTTTGAATGAACGAAAATGATGTTTTTAAGTATTTCCCTCTGGAAATGTAAGGTATGGGTTTATTGAAACAATTAAATTTAAAATCTGATTAACACAATTGTTATGTGCTTTATGATGTGTCACTGAATTCAGATGTAAGAGGCACATATGTTTATACGTTTTTGTTACTTAATTTTGACATCTCACTTGATACTGTATATATAAAGTTGCTCTTTTTATAATTATAATAACATTTTAAAATAAACCCATTAGAGTTACAAGTTATTTATGTAATCAATTACTTAATTAAATGAATAAATCAGTGGGATAAATATTTTTATAGGTAATGTAACTTTAAATATTAACTATAAAAACACTATAGAGATCACTGTAATGGACTTTTAACAATTATTTTCCACATACTTGTTAAAAAAGTAATCTCTTAAACAAGCAACTTGTAAAGGACGACTTTTTGAAAGGAATTTTCACCAATACAGTTCACACAAAATTGTGCTAAACTAAAAGGTATCCAGAACAAAAAAACATAGTTTCAAAAGTTGAAAATGAGGCTATTGAAGAATGACATGTCAGACCAATTAAACAAACTAGTAAATCTGTATTTTAGTTTCAAAGAAAAATCAACACAATCCCTTCCTAGCTGAAGAAAGATATCCATTTTAGTTAGTCTGCAAAGATTGATTGATCTCTTGTGTGTGATAAAGGAAAGAAGGAATTGTTCTTCACCTTGGCTTCCTGAGAGTTTTGTCTTTGTAGGCTCCGCTTTCAAAAGAACAACAGACTTCTTGAAAACAGATAGCCTTCGTGGGTGTGTTTCGTTTTTCCCAACTAATGAGATCTGAATCCCACTGGAGTATATTTTTAGCAAGGCTCAGCTGACGTACCAACATCTAAGGATCCCGTTTGAGAAATTGATTGCACCAATGTGGATGTTTGCAGAGAAAATAAGTGAAGATTAGCGTCTCAAGATTTTAATTAGATCAAAAGTATTCAGCCCCTGGCCTGCATGCAGAAAAGTAGTAAACTAATCCCACCTTTCCTGGAAATAAATAGCGGAGGTTAGCAGATAATAGACGATGCAAAATCGATCAACATTGATTGGCACTTATCTCTTTTTCTCCTGAACGGATCAAATGGTGACATTTTTAGGTAAATGAACACATGTCAAATTTGGAGATAAAATGGAAATTTCACTTTCACTCTTCTAAAGTTTTCTTTTAAAAAAAATCCATCCACCCACCCATTTTCTAACTGCTTCTTCCAATTCAGGGTTGTGGGGGAGCTGGAGCTTATCTTGGCTTGACATTATAGTGGGCACACGACAGGATACAACCTGGATGGGATGCCAGACCAGTCCAGGGCACACACAGACACGAATACACACACTCACACCAGGGCCAATTTTCCCTGAAGCCAATTGTAACAGAACAGTTCTTTCCGGACCCTATGCGGACGACACAATCTGGGGAAATGTGAGGAAACACTGTGGAAAAAGTCATGCAGGAGACAGGAATGAAAACGGGGGCGTGCCCTTGGTGTGCTGGTGTACAGGGAAGGTGTGGCCGAGGCAAACAATCCAAATAATAAGTCCATAGGCAAATTCCAAAAATACAAACAAAAGTCCATGGCCAAGTGATCCATCCAAAACTAAGGATTAAAATCAGGAACCGGGTTGGAACCGGCAAGGGGAACAGGAACAGGCATAGAAACTTAAAAACATAACAGAGCCAGGCGCAACCAGGTCCCAGGCTCACATGATATGGAAATCAGATGTAGATCCTGGATTAACATCAGCGCCTGGCTTTTAAAGGAAGATGGAATGAGGCTAGAACAAGGAACAGGTGCGGGGAATGAGGCAAACAAGGAAGAGCCGGAGCGGCCTTAAGGGGGAGGGACTACAATCGTGACATCAATTAACTTACCAGTCTGTCTTTGGACTGTGGGAAGAAACCGGAGCACCCAGAGGGGAACCCATGTGAGCACAGGAAGAACATGGGAATTTAAACTTTACCACTGTTCCACCACAAACAACAAATATCGACATTGCATAAAATCATCACAGCTCACAACAATCCAGATTACTGTATGTTCGGTCATTGCACATTGAAAACTTAAACTCTCTCTGAAAGACGTAGAATGTCACATCTGAAAGTAAAGGGTCATTTTAGCCGCTTAGTAGGCCTAGGCTAGATGATATAAAAATCCTGAATTGTCCAAAATCTGAAAAAAAAAAACTGTTACAAGACCTTGTACAATGTTTTGGTTTGAGCACTGATTTTCTTTCTGCAGATGCTGTATTTAATTTACACGGAACAAATGGCCTCCTTGCAGTTCTCAATCATGTAGTAATGCTTTAAAATAATACAGGGATTAGACAGTTCGTATGACTCGTTTGCATAATAAGTGAAACTAAATAATATTACATTCTAATACATTTGTATGTATTTTATATGTCATTGTGATTTACCTCTCTTGGTTTGATACTATGTAATTAACATGTTTTTGATAAAGGAAAACAGAGCATTAAATTGAATTATTTTTGTAGGAGTTGTGCGCACAGGTCGTCATGCTTCGAGTGATTTAGCTCTTCTGTATCTTTAGAGGGCGCTATCGAAATAAACGGAGGTAGCGACAACTGAAAGATCCGCCCATGCTTAAGAAAAAATGCATGTGACCCGGAAAAGGTATTTTTATTTTCCTCTTGACACGTAGCAGCAAAATTGGAAGTGTACATGGGAGAAAAGAAAGTGTTAGAGGGTTGAAACTGTAAGTTCTGAAGTCGTTTGTTCATAAAATGTGTTTAAATGTTCTTTTTACTGTATTTCTAATGGTAAATCTAAACCTCGGGTCTGTCGTTGATGTCCATAACTGTGTAGTGTGATCATTGGGGTAGTGGTAGCAATAAACTAGTTATATGTATATCTCTACTGGAATTAAATGAGCAAAAATGCGTAATGAATAAAATATGATAAGATGCCTGAGTAATTCAGTTGCTTTTGTAGTGTTATTTAGATTATTTTTGAAGACTGTATAGACACATTTAAAAAATACTTTGTACTTAAAAAGACTGATTTACGGAAGCGCAGCACTTGATAACTACCTATTGAACCTGTATTGAGACGTTCTTGTGTTTTTTTAAAATATTACCGGTGCAAGGCCTTTGATTAATAGAACGGTAAAAAGTTAGCTCTAGGTATTTTTATTCTATGTTATGTCAATGATGGTAGCTTTACAAGTTCACACATTTCTGGAGTGTGCAAATCTCTAACGGCAAGAGACACTGACAGGTTTGCGAAACGACTGTACGACCGTAATACTTGTCAAACACTGGGTTGTTGCATTTTTTTTATTTTATTGTTTGTTTGTTTGTTTGTTTGTTTGTTTTACCGTAGTGCTTTATTATAGGTGGTTATCATTCTGAAAGCTACGGTTTGGTGTGGGAGGACCTACGACAAGGCCTTTTATTTGCAGAGTACCTTGATATAAATAAAGGGTAAGGCTGACACTGCATTGTATATACAATACTGTTATGTTTGTCAAATAGGGAAGTGTTTTGAATGCTAGGAAGTGTTTTCAGAAATTATAATGATGGTAATTATAATTTCACTGAATTATCTCTTACTTGTAGTGGGAATATACTGTTATGTTAAGATATACACGTTGTGCTATTTAGTGTTGCTGATGGAACAGTAATGCACTGAAATTAGAGTATTCTTGAACTTTAACCCCCCCCATTGTGGAATAGCCACTACAGCCCTCTAAGCACTGTGTCCTTATTTTTATGTTTTCTGGTTGGATCCAAGCAGAAGTTTTATCTTTAAGACCTGAAAATGCATTTTTTCTACATGTTCTCACTTCCCTTTTCTAAACGTGTTTGCCTTTGCTTCGCAGGCTATTGAAAATGTCAGGCTTTGACAACTTCAACACGGATTTCTACCAGACCAGCTACAGCATTGATGACCAAACTCAAAACGCATATGATTACAATAATGCAGCCGACCCCTACAATAACAGGTGCATTGATTTCAGTGCCATCATAACCATGAAGCTGCTAAATAGATTATGTGTATTTGATTTGTTCTGAACACATCAAATAAATTTAAATGTCAGGATCTGTGAGTGGTGTGTTGCAAACTGAAATAGTTAAGTTAAGCTTTAAATACCTTCGTCCTTCTACATCCATAATCCTTTCCTACTTTTGCTTTTTTGTATTGGAGCCAAAGGAGGCATTAAAGTGAAAGCATTTCATTTGAATGTCACTGGTACAGATTTATAGACTTTAAGTTCCTAACATCAGAAAGGTTTTCAGGATTAACTATGAAGTTGTGAAGTTAAGAACATGGGTGGTCAGCATGATGCTGACTGGAGTTCCCTATGTGTAAGTAGCACATTAGAAAAGTGAACTTGGCCTTTCTGTCTCTCCAGGCCATATGGAAACTATGACTATTCCCAGCAGGCAGGCTGTGGCAGTCCTGGAATGATGCAGCCTCAGCAGCCCTACACTGGCCAGATCTACCAACCAACACAGACCTTCACTCCAGCCTCTGCACAATCAGTGTATGGCAGCAGTTTTGAGGATGAGCCTCCATTACTAGAGGGTGAGTTGCATAAATGCCTCTTGGGTGAGGAGTGTAATCAGATACCTTTGTTCTTTGCGTAGTGCTTTGATTTTGCAGACTACTTCTTAATCTGTGCACAACTGCAGTTTCTGCAAGTGGTCATCCAGACGTTTCAAAACTAGTCTATGTGTGTACCTTATGCAGTTTGGTGCATCTTCGCTTAAAAATGTTATTTATTCTTTTTGTTTACAGACCGTTATAATAAAACAGAGTATAGAAGTTTGCATTAAAGTGTCACTTTTGCAACAGACTAGTTGATTTCTTTCATTTTGACATTCTAAGAGTTGAGATAGTCATTCTATGGCTGCTTTTAATTGTTTATAATTACTCTTTTTCCGGATGTGATCAGGCACTCCTTTCATGTGTGAGCTGAGTACAGTGTTGCAAACTGTCAATCATCAAAGCGTTTTCAGATTGTGAAGCTGGCCAGCTGGATTGGTAACAATATCTATCTGTTGCTATCCAGTTCGTGCTTCCGTTTTAATTTTGGGGATTTTTTTTTTAGTAATGCACTCCCACCCCCACCGATTTAAAATGTGGCAGTTTCTGTAAGAGTTCGCTAATGACTCCCACACCCACTCACTCGCCTCCAACACACCCACCGGTGAAGCCTTTGATCTTTTGACATGCTTCAGGCTCCTCAGTGCCTCATGGGAGTGTTATCCGCATTTTGAGAAGCAGGTCGACTGGCTCCTTGCAATTTGATGAGTACAGAAAGAAACAGGAGAGTCTTGGCTGACTAATCTGGCCCGGTCCTGACGTCTCCCTGCCAGCTGTGCATTAATGAGCTGAGCCTGCACTCCGATTGAGCACCTGTACTGGCTCAGCATCTTGGGGGCTCCTTCAGCTGTGCAGAAATCTCATGTATGCTGATTAGCGTGAGTCCTTTAAGAAACAGTAGGATGATCCCTTTGTCAGGTGCCAGTAAACGCCACAAAAAAAGTGCATTTTTTCCCCACTTAACATTGTTAGCAATGTTTTTTAAACTGTCTTAAGAAAGCATTGTGATGATTGTCATGTGCACCTTTCTGTAGGTGAGTGATCAAACTGTAAACAAGATAGAGATTTCATAAAAAATCAGATATCTCTAATTCACTTCACAGTTATCCAAATCTGCATAATCTCTGCTATACATTTGTTTTATTGTTGAGGTTTTTATACACTTGTGTATAAATCAAAATATTTTAATGTAGTAAATCAGTTTTCCCTACTGTTGCTTGTTGGGATAGGCTCTGGTTCCCCTGTGACACTGTATTGGATAATCTGGTTAGAAGATGGATAGATGAATGTTTTTTTGTTTTGTTTATTCTTTGTAGCTCTCAAGATGTTAACACATGTTTTTTTATTCCTAAAAGGTAGAGCAGTCCCTATATTGAGTATAAACTATCTGCTGCCAGCGAAATCACGTGTTAATATTTATTAGTATTTATCTGCATGTTTTCTGACAGAATTGGGAATCAACTTTGACCACATCTGGCAAAAGACCCTGACAGTGCTACACCCTCTCAAAGCAGCAGATGGCAGCATCATGAATGAAACGGACCTGGCTGGGCCAATGGTCTTCTGTCTGGCGTTTGGAGCCACTTTGCTGCTGGTATGATATACAGTATCTTTCCAAGACTTTGGAAAATTCTTTTTTTCTCTATCTGGAACTGATTAGAAAAAAGTATAACAGAAATTATTATTCATTTTAAAATTCTCTTATTCCACTTTTTTAAAATGTCTTTAGACAATGATGTCTTATATGTTTGTATTTTGTGCCCTGTAAATTCTAAGGGCAGTATATTTTAAATCTTAGGTTTCTTAGCCTAACTCAGCGTACTGTATTAACTCTGGTACACCACACCAGGAAACGTAGATCCAGTTTAAATAAAATCAGTTGTAATGCCAGTAAATATGGCAGGTTTCTCTTAAGTAATAAGAAGCTTCTTTAAGATAAAAAAGTCCATCAAATACTGGGTTTGTATGACTGAATGGGTTGACATTTTTATTTAATGCTGGTCTTAGCCGGAAAATAGATCACACAAAGGTCCAAGCAGATCAAGGTGTTAATGGAGAAGTAGAAATGGCAACATTCCTTTCATTAAAAGATTCTTCAAAGATTTTTCTGTTCCCAGGGATTTACACGGTGCTCTTTATATTGATTTTAATTCTTCACGGTGTAGTGACAATGTTGTCTTGTTCCACTTAAAGTAACAGAATTGAATTCAAACTTCCATTAGCGATATGATCAACGTGATTTATGTCCAAGGCCTTTTCAAGCTCAAAGTGCAAAGCTATTAGCAGTGAACCCTGCCTGTGTAACTCCCAGCTGTTTCAGACATAATATTTTATTGTGGTTACTGCTGCCTGTTGCAGTGAAACCCAAAGAGCTGTATTTCATAACTTTGTTAAACCTTGTCTGAAGCACAGTCCAGCATTTTAATGTCTTTCCTGGCCTTGCATGCACACTACATTAGGAATGGTTACAGCTGTTTTAACATTGCATCTTTAATTTGATCTGTTTTCTGCTTTATGTTACACTTTAAGGGATCCATCTATATTTGCATTAAATGTCCAGTTACTGACAATATTTTCCTTTATTACCATCTATTAACTGAAATATTTTGTGCAACACGGTTATAAAGAGGAAGTTGACCCATGTGAAGAAAACCTCATTGCACAAGCACTTGACTGGACTCCAGATTAGTATATTTCTGTATATTTTTTCTGTTCTGTGGTTTCTTTTGAAAGTTCCTGAGCTCCCTTGCTACAAACTTTCCATTTTTTTTTCTCATGTTTGTAGGCTGGAAAAATACAGTTTGGTTATGTATATGGAATTAGTGCGATTGGCTGCTTGGGAATGTACTGCTTGCTGAACCTCATGAGTATGACAGGAGTTTCATTCGGCTGTGTGGCCAGTGTTCTGGGCTACTGTCTGTTGCCAATGATTATTTTGTCCAGCTTCGGTGTGCTGTTCTCGCTACAGTAAGTATCTGTTTTTCTTGATTGCAGAAAATATAAAAGGTTGATTGTTTCTGAATGTTACTTCTGCCATATGTCTTTTTTTGGGTAGTCATTAATGTTAATCGGAAATGGAGTGCACATAACAGTCCATCTCATCAAAGTACAAATGTGCAGGTTGTCAAGTTGAGTTCCATTTATACATTTAGAGTAGAAATTAATTGTAAGAGCCTTCTTAATTCAATTATTTTAATGCAGGCCATTAAACGTGAAGTTTAGACAGTTGGTCATGTGTTATATTAAAACTATTTACAGGCTCTTTTTATATATTATTTTTAGACTTCCAAGAAAAGGAAAGGAAAATCCATCAAAGGAAGCAAATAGTGAATTTCAGATTTAGTTGGACAAATGTATTTCTTCTCTTTCTAATGTTTAGGGAAACTAGAAACCGGTATAATGTCTGTGTGGTTTCTGAGCAATCATTGCTAAGTATTATAACAGTGATTCTTGTGTTCCAGGGGGATGATGGGTATCGTTATCACAGCTGTGATTATCGGATGGTGTTGTTTTTCTGCCTCAAAAATCTTCATCTCTGCTTTAGCCATGGAAGGACAGCAGCTTTTGGTGGCATATCCCTGTGCCCTTTTATATGGAGTTTTTGCTTTGATTTCTGTCTTCTGAACTCAGGACAGTAGTTTGACAGACAAAAGAAAAAACTAGGACAAGTAACAAAATGTGCACCCATCCTGAAGCCTGGCATAATGTTTGGCACATTCCACTTCAGACTACCTGAGGGATCAACAGAAATCCAAAAATGTGCATATCCAGCTACTTTTCTAAAGGTCCTCTGGAGTCCGATACAGTAACAGTAGGTTTAATTTGCTGATACAATGCTGTACTTATGTGGGTGTACAGTTTTCGTATTCTTCTATATATTCTAGATAAAGTTTGTGGCCATTTTAGAAATGATCATAGGTAAAGAACTGTTAATGTGTGAAGAATTTCATTCCAAAAAAGTTTTTTTCTTCAGTCTGTATACATTAATGTATTTGACATCTGATATATAGTCCCATGGCTTTTGTAAGATTTCAAATTTATTTACATGTGTGAGGATAATTGTTTTTTCACCGTAATATACAGTTAAAAGACCTTGTTTTAGAATTGCTGCATTTTAATTGCTAAGATTTAACTCTTGGACGGGTACTTTACTGGTTTGTGACGGAGCCAGAAAACAAATAAAAACATCACCATAATGCAGTAATGAAATGTATTCCTTTTAAATATTTTTTCCCCCATTGCATTAAGAACACCTTCTACAGGCAGTATGTGTTCTGTGTTTCACATGTGTGAACGTGTATTACTGGGGAACACCCTGTGACAGGTACTGCGATAGTAGTACATACTGGTATATTTATCTCTGATCTTGATCAGATTATCTTAAAACCCACATTGAAAAAAGGTTAAGAATTCTGTTTTTGATGGTGTTTGTCATGCTTTGCCAGTTCTCACACACATATGAACTTTTTCGCACTGGAACAGTTGTTGATAACAGTAATGCATTTCCCCAGAGCACTTTGCAACGTTGTGGTCCATATTCCCTAATCTTCAGTTTGTCTTTTTGTCGTCTTCCTGCACAAACCAGAATTGGCTAACCCGGATTGTTAACTAAACAGGTCGGCCACACGTCAAATTGTTTCATCTGCTGAAAGGTTCGCTTGTGGGGTTCCACTGCTCAACGGATGTTTTGAGAACTGCTCTTTGGAAGCTGCAAGATGCCATGAGAATGAGCCACCCCATTGTTGGATTGCTCTAAGTTCTCACGAAAGAGAGAGGAAGGAGCACTAAAAAAAGTCCATTAAGAAAGGCGAGGGAATTGCTGATGGTCTTTAAACAGAGCCGAGGTTTGCAACCTCATTATGTGCTATTTGAAGGTTTGCAGGGAATCTTCAGGGACAACCCACCTCCATATGCAGTTAATGGGAGGCCCACGTTTGGATATATCTTTCAGTACGTCCTGTAAAAACTTCTAATACATTTTGCCAGTTCAACAGGAAACATCCATGTATTTATTATATTCCTAAAATCTCATTAAGTGTAAGGAATCCAATTTTATCTATCTTACATTTTCCCATAGTGTTCAAGTAGTGCATATTTTTGTACATGGTCAATATAACCAAGACGGTTCATATTCTTTATGTTTTGGGGAAAAAAGACTGGACAGAGCTTCAGCCATGACAATTTGTTTTATATCTATAAATCAAATTGCATTTGAACTGGTGGCAAACAAATGTCTCCAATGTTCCAGCAAAGAAAGTATTTACTGTATAATTTGTTTTGTACATTTGAAGTCCTTAAATTTCGTTATCTATTGTCATATGGAACGTAAAAATAAAAGCGTGCAATTTAACATTTTTTGTGAATTTAGTTTTTCATTCTGGAAACAAGTGCTGGGGATGTGAAAACATGATTGCAGTTATGTGAAGTAGAATAATACAATAATATGTGTATGTTGTTCAATAATCTAATGATGTCAGTAGCTTTAAAATAAGATTACATCTTTTTAAAATAAGGAGTGACTTAATCTCAGAAAAGGTACATTTAAAAAAAAGTCATTTAAGACTTCATTTCTGAATTATTTCTGATCTCTTCTACTCATTGTGCATGATTCTGATTTAACTCTTAACATGAGGTGTTGCTTCATCAAATCTAAATCTTCTAATTAGGCTGCTAAAACTAAGATGCTAGATCAAGTGCAGGAGCTGCTTTTGTGGGTATAATTGGCAAACAACTCTAGTATTTAGCATTTATTTCATAAGAAACACAAGGATATTAGAAATTTGTATTTGCTGAAATATTGCTCTTGCATTGAATTTTTAGTTTCAGTGAGCAGTTTTTAATCAGATAATTGTGCAGTATTGTGGTACTATGTAGTATACAGATGTTAATAACAAATAAATTGAATAAGCAGGTACTAACCTTGTCACTTACTTCTAGTCGTTTTTTTTTAGTTTCAGTTCGTTACTTCTGAAAATGTTTCTAGAACTGATTTATGTCCACTTTCAGGTCTAGAAAGCCCTGTTACTGTTCACCATTTCAGCTTATATGAAGCAAATGTCACTTCAGACTTTTGGAATCTTTAGACCTGCTAAAAGGCCATAGCTGTGTTCATTTCATTGGCTTATCCAGGTAGTATCTGTTCATTACAAATGCATAATCCAGAGAGTGGTTGTGATATTTCCAGGTAGTTGTATTGGTTGTTCACACTAAGTATGAGGACTTTTTTACAGTGCCCAGTTGAACTCCTTGTATCCTTTAGGTACCAAAACTTTACATAATGTTGACAACATAAAGACACATCAGAATTTTATTAAACACAGATATGTAAAAGTGCCACTTATACATTTACATAGTAATGTTGACAAAGTGGAATGGAATATTACTTTTATGAGAGCTGGTAATATGAATTTCTGTTTGAAAACCGTCTACATTAATATGAAAGCAATCACAGCATCTAGCTTTTCTCTGCAAAGCTACGGGACTTTACTAAAAAGTGACAAATGGTCACCATCTGGATTCACTCAAAATGTAGCATTCTTGCCTTGGCAAGGAGGAAGTTGAAGGAAGCCGGAAGAGAGCAGGGCTGTGACAGTTCAGGTCAAATGTATGGTATCCAGACTTGAATTTTGCATCATTGACGCTTTCTTGTAATGCATAATTAGGAAACATAGCACATCTTATAGAAAAAATGGTTGGATATGAAAAAAATAGCATGAACCGTTTTGCTTGAATCAGCTTTTTTGCGGTTGCTTCAATTTGACAAAACGTTTTGACTTCTTGTGCATTGACTCGGACATGTCAATTTTTTTCCGTCTGCGGCATGTATACAAACAACAACACGTAAAACATTTTTAATGAAGCATATTTACCGAGACGCATTATAAGGAAGGCGTTCATGACATAACATCCTTTAATAAGACCGCTTCAGAAGAAAAGTTTAAACACTACTTAAAATTCATATCATAATTCAAAGAATTATACTGGACTTAATATAATAGAGTATATTTTTGTGAAATGAAATATATGCCGGTAACGTTCGATAAGGTATGTACTGTAGCTTCTCATTCAAAAATGAAAAGCTGTGACAACGGTACGTTTGTCAGGTTATCAGTCCTTAAATGTAAGAACCAGATTGTACTCTAGGTGTCAGTGTGGAGTCAGGTAAGGAATATTTCAATTGTTAGAGGTGAGGATTGATGTCTGTTACATAATGCTGTACAAAGATTCAGCTAAAATGCTGCAACGCACTAATTGTTATAAGTTATGCTTCGCTTTGATAAATACCAAGGGGCCTGCTTAAAAACGTATTTGTCCATCAATTCATTTACATCAAAATGTGTAGAAGGCGTTACATTTTCATAGAAAACCAAAGCAAAACCAAGATTTTCCTTCCTTATTCCTAACTGCTTATATGACTCTATGTGCATTTATTGTACTTCTCATGCTTCACTCCTCGTTTATAAAGAAGTAAATTAAATCCTTGGTATGTGGATTTGAAAAACAAAGCCTTAGCAAAACATCAGTTTGTATTTGCAAATGAGAAGTATCACATATGAAAAACATATGAAAATAATAGTTAATCTATAGAAATATTTGTTAACACTGTCAACAAAACCCAATTTAAAAACAATTTTCAAAACTCATCTTAAAATGATTTGCAGTGCAGAAACTTTTAGCATATGCTGAGAAATAGGTTTTCTAACACTGATCCAGTTTAAGTTTTAACCGAAATTTTGTGGAAGCGATGCTGGGCGTATTGTCTTTAACATAGGCTGCCAGAAAGATAATTCACTCATTTGCATTGAAGAGCGTTTCCTATTACTGTGTCCTCCCCCATGTGCCCGAAGCTCTAAAACACCAAATTAATCCCTTAGGGAAATATAATGACTTGTATAAATGACAATAGGTAATAGGTAATAAAACACATTTGATTTTGTTAGTAGGCTCGGGTATCTTGAGGTAATAGCCAGTAACATGATTCTGTTATGTATGTAGCTGTTAATTTATTACTTGTTTGTTATGACAAAGAAATATGCAATGCAAATAAAAATACTTCAAACTGGTTAGAAGAGAGGTTTATGATGGCACATGTGTTTTTAAACAACAACAAATATCAACAATTCAGACAGTAATGTTTCTTCCATCTACAGAAGATAAGACAGGTAAGGATGTGCCCACTCAAACATGACAACGATGTACTCTTAAGGCCTTTTGAGCAGTGAAGCAAATTTTTCAAAAGCAGCGAAGAGGTTCAGTAACATCATTGACTCTCTGATGTGATCGCTCAGTTTATGGATTCTGATTGCATAATTCCTCTTTATTGATTTCTGAGAAATGCTTCTGGGTCTGGAAAAGACTTGAACATTTAAGATGGCAGCTGTTGAGTCTGTGAGAGCCCTGATCCAATAACAATATTAACCACAATAATATTAATTAGAATGTGTGTGCGCTCTGGGAAGATTGGTCTGCTGTAAATGCCATGATTGGTATTCACTGGTGAGGAATATTAGGTGTGTTCAAGCTGATCAAACATAAATATTCATTAACCCCCTAATACTGGAGTGTTGAGTACAATTCCTGCTGTTTCCGTACTTCATTAGGCTAATTGTCTAGTTCATTACATGACTCATGTCAACAGTCAGTGATCAGGAAGTGATATTGGTAAAGCTGAAATGTTTGAATACAAATAACTTTGTTGACACATTAGCAGTTGGTTACACGTACTTTTGAATAAAGTTCTTTTAATGATTTGTACCCTTTTGAATTAGTTTCATTTGAAATCTTAATAACTTTTCACTCTTTAGTACAATTCACTCAAATGTAAAGGGTTGAGTTAAAAACTTCACCGTCATTATACTAATAATTGTCTATATAACATTTTATAATACTTTATAATAGATCCTTTATTATCCTGTCCAACACCTTATCACACCAGACTGCTTTAATCTACCAGAAAAATCACACATTGCTGGAAAGAAGTTTTTATTAAAATTGAAAATACTGAAGTGGGTGCTTATGTGAAAGTAGCCTGTTGTTCTGAAAAACAAATACAGAGCAGTACAGTTCAGGTCAATTACCTGTAACTGAGAAACAAACAGTGAAAATTGCTATTGAACTTTGTACTGCAAGCAGCTGACAAAGGATCACCTTACAAAAGAAATGGTTTTAATGTACCACAGGTCTTCAAAATATTGGGTGATTCATGGAACACACATCTTTAAATGGGTAATTAGCATTTTCAAGTATTTGGCATATAATAAGCATGTACAATTAGGAAACCAAATTGAAAAATATGTGTTTTTTTCTATGGATTTTCTTCTTGGAAACCAGCAAGTTAATTACAAATCATTCCACTAAAGCCTTTATTTCTGCATGTTTTCATACAACTTGAAAACGGGGGGTGTCTTTATGGGCTATTTTAGCATACCATGGTAACATGGTAACTCATACAATTAAAAAAAAACATTTAATCCATTTCAGACTTTGATAGGAAACAATAATTTGCCATTTATATGCTACACAGTTTTAGTGAAAATCTACAATGTGTTTTTTTTTGGCCACTTCTTCTGATAAATGAATGGGTTGTGTGGTGAGTTGACAGAGCAATCTGAGACTCTGGGGGAAGCATGGTAGGTTTGCTGCTGTTTGGGGGAATTCTTCTTCTGCGCAGTGTAGTTCACCACATACAAGCTGTCCAGGGAGGTTCTGTGGTTGGATTATAGGGCAAGTTGTTGCTAGGTAGAGCTGAGATGGACAAATGTTCAGGTCTTTAACTCTTGACATTTATTCCACTTGGCAAGCATCCCACAGTGCAGAGGTGTATCTCCAGAATGGATATTTGGACTTCAGGTGTAGTCTGGGAGGTTGGATAGCTTTAGCCCACTTACAAGTGTGTTGTATTTGGGAAAGGCATGTGAGGCCTGAAGCTTGTGAACAGGTTTATCAGCACATTGAAAGCAAGATAAGATTAAGATGACTTTATTGGCAATATACAATTTCTTGCATTAGGAATTTGTCTTTTCGAATATCCTGCTCTCCATGATATAACTTGCTCTCCATTAGACACACAAAGCAACAGGCAGGGAGAGAAGCTTGGGGTCAGAGCGCAGGGTCAGCCATTTATACGGCACCCCTGGAGCAGTTGGGGTTAAGGGCCTTGCTCGGGGGCTCAATGGAGTAGGATTCCTCTGCCAGGTGCAGTATTTGAACCAACAACCTTCCAGCCACAGGTCAGACCCTTAGCCACCAGCCACCGCATAACCCTAGAGAACATAACTTTGCAGGTTCAAAATGATTTCCATCTATTTCGGCTCCGCCCAGAGAAAGAATGATACCTTAAGTAATTCTGGT